TCAACGAAAACAACAAATGTTTGTATATATCTTATTTAATGTAAGCGAAAATGGCGCTAAATATTTCCATCTATAATTTAGGTCATCATCAGGCACCTATCTATGATAGGATTGTAACTCCAGTGATTAAAAAAATAGCCATGATATGGATCCATATTTATGCAATAGAAATCCGTTGTTGCAGATGAATATATATATATATATATAAGGTGAAAATAGAATATAATAATAATCTAATAAATTTCGTTATTAATAATTAAAGGTTTAAAGGACATTAAAGTATAAATATGTAAAAATATGAAAAATTATAGAATACATATTATATACACAACAGGATGCAATATATAAATTCAAAAGTTACGAATTTTATTTTACTATCATATTGGTCATCTTGAGCCGGTCACGGTAGCCGAGCGGTCTAAGGCATATACTGTCTTCCCTCGCTTGGAAACCGGGATCGTGGGTTCGAATCCCACTCAGGGCATTGATGTTTAGTTTGTGTGTGTGCGTTTTTCTGTGTTTGTGTACAGGTAGAGGCCTTGCGACGAGCTGATCCCCCCCCCCCCCAAGGAGTCCTACCGTATGTGTAAGATCTAGAAAAACCGAAGTGAACGGAGAAGTTCATGGAGGTAGGCCTATGGCCACTGGGGCTGTAGTGCCAAGGGAAAAAAATTGGTCATCATGAAATATTATATTCCGTAATATTGACGTATTGGCTTCTATCGAAGTATCTGGTCAGATCTAATGTTTTTTCTTGAGACACTAGAGGCAACGTGCGTCTCAGTTGAACGTGGCTTGAATGAGAGTCCATCTTGGATCAACCAATACTCTTTCCTCAATCTCATGCACCCTTCCGCGTAACTCAATGTACACATTATTCGAGATTAAAGCTCTTCTTGCCCAAATTCCAAATAAGGATGCGACAGTCTTGCAAGTTTCTATTACAACGTCATATAAATATCAAAGCCTTCATCGATAAAAATTTATGAAGTATTTGATAGAACAACGTTACTTTATGTTTTTTTTATTTATAGTGGGGTGGGACTAAGTTCCTTGTAGTGCGGCCATTTATGGCCTATTGTACCAGCCCCAGACGATAGGTGAGGGTGATTGTGGAGAAATTGGTGGAATGAAGATTGGCAGGGGAAACCACAAATCCCACTTGACCAAACTCGGGATCGAACCCGGACCGCCGCGGTGGGAAGCCAGCGTCTAACCGCTTGAGCTATGGCGCGGCCCTTATTTTATGTTAGTGACTGGAAAGGTTAAAGTTCTTCCTGTGCTTATTTAATTAAGCATTATTCCATGAAGACGTATGGGGAGTGGAGGTATAGCTCCACTATTCTTGACCTCGTCAGTAGATGGAGATGAGTGGTCATTGTGTTCACAGGGAACCCACCCGGTTGCCATTTTACGGGGAGACTGGGTGGGCAGCAGTGGGTGTGTTGACGGTGTGGAGAAGAGAAAAATTTAGCTTCTACCAGAGTTCGAACCCCAGCCATCCAACCATACCAAATGAGCTATCCCGGTTCTAATAACACACCCTTTTGGGCCGTAAAATTTTGAAGAAACCGTGGGAGAACTCAAGTCCTTAAATAACCGAATTTGTTGAACAGTGCAGAAGAAATTGAAGAACACTTTGACCGGATGAGCTCTGGCAGGATTCCAAAAAAGATATTCAAATATCAACGAAAAGGGAAAAAAAGTTTAGGTATACATCTGAAATGATAGAATGATTCTCATTCCTAATACCACTAACATGTCTCAATACGTGTAATACTGGAACAGATGGTGGCCATGAAATGTATTTTCTCTCTTTATTTGCTCGCAACTTTAAAAAAATTCAGCTGACAGAAATTACCAAATGTACATTACTGTCCTAGGGATTCCGGATTCAGGTACCTAGAATTAATTCTATAAAGAAAAATAAATCAGAATTTGACTTAAGAAGTTGTTATTTACGAGCCAGAAAGATTACGAAAAAGTGCCCATACTAGAACTAATTTGACCCACATAACCTTCAGATATATATTTTTTTGTGGCGCTACAGCCCAAATTTTGGGCCCAGGCCTACCTCCATGAAATTCTCCGCTTGACTTAGGTTTACTAGATCTTATACATTCGGTAGGACTCCTTGGGCGAGTGGTCAGCTCGTCGAAAGGCCTCTACCTGTAGACAAACACAGAAAAACGAACACAAACATCAATGTCCTGAGTGGGATCCGAACGCACGATCCCGGCTTCCGAGCGAGCGAAGACAGTACATGCCTTAGACCGCTCAGCTACCGTGACCGGCAGTGTATAAGAATAATATATAAGAATTCAGTTCGTACCTCACAGGAAACAGATCCGAACCCACGATCCCGGCTTCCGAGCGAGCGAAGACAGTTCATGCCTTAGACCGCGCGGCTACTGTGACCGGCAGTGTATAAGAATAATATATAAGAATTCAGTCCGTACCTCACAGGAAACAGATCCGAACCCACGATCCCGGTTTCCGAGCGAGCGAAGACAGTACATGCCTTAGACCGCTCGGCTACCGTGACCGGCAACCTTCAGATATACATGTTGCAATTCTTCTTAAAAGGCAGTAATTAATCTTCAGAATAGGGATAATATGAAGAGGAAACACGTAAAATATTCTTTATAATACACGTTGAATGCTGTTCTGGTTTAGCAATAATTGTTATGGAATTTTCCACTCTTCCTTGTAAATCATCTGTCATTTGGCTAAATATATTCTTTAAGTACGCGCCTATATGCAGTAGCCTTCTCTGCGCAACGTGTAAAGATCCCTACACTAAATCAATCAAGCAGGATTCTTCGAACCATTTTTTTGTATTGCATAACAAACTGCAGGTTATGTAAATAAAAGTTGTTTATCTTTGCCCTTAAGCTGCAGGAAAAGACTTTTAATAATTTGAACCCGCCTACACAGCAAATTTTGCAATTCATGATTTGAATTCCACTTCTCATCTCCCTGACTAACTAACCTCAACAATAAGACAAGGTGGTTAAAAACACTTAACTTTCAAAGTTCGGATATTTTTATAAGGAGTTGTGCGCTTATCAAGGAATTAATAGCAGGCTAAATTCTTTAAATTCTTACCACCATGGAGCACTGAATTTTTGTTCTCCAATTTTTTCTACAAAAATTAATTCTCTGGTCTCTAGTCCGCAAGCGTACTATACCGACCGAGAGACCGCCGCTTGTCGGCGAAGATAATGCCAACTTTAGCGGATAGAGGGTGTCACGTGGTCAGCGCAACGTATTTCCAAGGCTGTTAATCTCGGTTTTCTAGACCGGAGACGCTGTTTCCTTGAAATAGCTCCTCAATTATCATCATGAGGCTGAGTATACTCAGTTCTAGACCTACTACTTCTCACAAAATCTGATAGCGCCGGGAAACGAACCCGGGATCTCTGGATCTGTAAGAAGGAACTCTGATCACTAGACCACAGAGGTCTAAGAAACCGCAAATATTAAAATATGTTCGACTCCTCTTTAAATTAATATTTTATTTTGAGTTCAGTTCATAAATATTTTTCTGATTACAGCATAATTTTCAGTCTCATTCTCTGATAAATACAGAATTTCGCGAATTGGACATGTGCCATAGCTACATACAAATTGAATCCCAACCAATATATGGCAAAAAGCTAATGAATAACCTTTGAAAAAATTATCTAATCATGTAGTCATTATCCGTCACGTCCCAGTTTTTCTGTGTTGTCGTATTATATCAAAGATATTTAATTGTTTGTGACATAATTACAGATTTCAAGTGTCTCATAACTTAAAAATATTTTAACTAAGAATTGAAAACTGTGTGTCTGTAATATAAATGGAATGATTTCGTGGTGGTATCCACGAAATAAGGATTTAATTTCTGATGACCTTGAAGTGCACGAATTGGGGAATCCAATGCAGTGTAACAACTTGCTAGTTCCTTCACTCGGACTTTGTACCTAACATAACATAAAAGTAAAATTATTCCGTGGCTTAATTAATTAAGCACCATGACATGAAGACGTATAAGGGAGTTGAGGTATAGCTCCATAATTCTTGACCTCTGATCTAGGTGGACGTGATTGGTCAGTTTCACGCTTCAGCCGCTTTATCCCTGAGGAAACAGTCCTCGACAATCATTATACATGAGGCTAAGTGGGTTCCAGACCCGGTCTGGAAGTTATAGAGAAAAGGAAATATCCTGTTCTTGACCACAATCGAACATGGACTCCTCGATGGTCCACTCCGTAGCCTAGTACCTATACCGACTGAGCAATCTCGGCTTTTAACGTGACTTAAGCTTAATGATATATCAGGTGAACTTACGAAAACACGTGCGGACGAATTGAAGAACAGGACCTCACTACCGAAGGTTTCTGTCCTAGCTTCCTGTT